CGGTATCACTGTCTGGGGTTGGTGTCTTGTGTGAAATATTTGATGTAGTGCAGAGTTAAGACTGGGAAAGCTTAACAGTGTTTACAGTTAGAGCTTGTTGGTACGTATGAACAGGTAGCAAAACACTATTGTTCATAGGCAAAAAGGGAACATGAGGCAACCTGCACTGGACAACTGACGTGAAGTCCTGTGAATTATATATACAGGAGACTGTAAAGCAGTGAAAGGATCAAAAGGACTTTGGAAAAAATACAACTTACTTCTAGCACAGATTTTTTTTTTTTTTTTTCCTTAACACCCACCCCCCCACCCCACCCCCATTAGTTTTGCAGATCATATTTTTCCTTCTCTGGTATATGAGTTGTAATCAGTTACAATTACAGTGTTATTTTTGCAGTTAACACTTTAACAAATTGTTGTTGCTGGTGTTTGTTTATTTGCTTATTCAAGGGGGATGCTTCTTGTTAACCATTTTGTCACTTAGTGTAGGAGAGGGTACAGGAAAGGCACGAGGGTCCCTGAAGCTCCTTGTGACCACTGCAGGTGTATCTGAAAATCTGATTTTGCGATTAAAACGAGAGATTCCTTTCAGGGCAGATGAATGCCAAGCAATGAGGAAGGGATAAAACAGACTTCTATGCAAAACTATGCCTATAGCAAAACATAAACCCGTGCCTGGACAATGACTGGTTCCTGACTACGTGTTACTGCTCAGGAAAAGGGCATTGGGTTTGGTTTGGGCAGTTCCTGCAAACATCTGCTTAGTGCTAGTTTTAAAAAAACAAAACAACAAAAACCGAAATAAATTGTTAGAAATTATTATGGAAAAGGAGTAGAGGACAAAAGAGGAGGCTTGAATATGTCACGTTATAAATCCCTGTCTTTAATATGGTGTGCCATTTTGGACCCTGTTCCAAGATTTAGTGGAAGAGGAAGAGGCATGGTGCAGAATGACAGGCTTGGGCTGCCTTCTGGAAGAAGAAACGGTAAATAAGATTGGGACTAACCAATCTGGAGAAGGGATGTGATGAAGGGGATTTGGGTGGATCCTATGGTTGTGGGCATGCAAATCTTAGGAATCCCTAAAGGTCTGGCGGCTGGAGTTGGGGAAAATACTCAGACAGCATTGTGCGCACCTCCCATCTTCTTATGCTCGTTCCTTAGACATCTGTGCTAAGCCTTTCAGAAACAGCATATTCTGTCAGACGAACCTTTGAATTAAGAGTACTGACGCTAGTACACGTGTCCTTGAACAGAAGTGTGCAAAAGAGGCTTGGCTGTCGTTAGGGCGCCTGTTTGGATGTGTCCCCAGTGTTGCTGCAGGGAGGGGAGTGTTTGTACTCGAGGCTGGCTAGGTAAGCTAAACTGAACTTCTCCAGAATATGGGAGACGATATAACAGTGAGGCATGGATAGCTTAGGGAGGAGCTTGGGATTGTAACTTTTGGATTGTTGTGAAGTTGTGTGTTACTTGGTTTGCTTTTGACTCTGTTTAGATGTCTGGTATCGTGCATTTTAATTGTTATCCCCCTCATGTTTTGGAGAGGTGGCTTTTTTCTGTCTTCTGCCATGGAATGGGGATGATGATACCTTTGCTGTGCTGCCCCTTTTCTAAATTAGGTATTTTGTGTCTGTCTTCCTTTTGAATAAGACCCGTTCCTTTCTTATCTGTTGCCCATAGCTTTTTTTTTTTCCTCTCTAAGAGCAGCTGCATGAAAATGGTGACTGTTATCAGGTTTTGATCAGCAGCTGCAAAACCAAGTAGTCCTCTTAATTTCATTTTGCATCTGTATGGGGAAGCTTTGCGCAGCAGTAGTATGTCTTCACCCTTGAGAAGATCGCATTACCTTAATTAACAGTTTGCAGTTGGAAGGGTTTTTTGTAACTATAAGAACTTAACCTTAACACAAACGTAGTTCTGCATTAGTTGGCAATATCCAGGGTAAATTGTCTTTTTTCCCAGCCCGTATTGTTTTTGGAAGACTCGGTTTGAAAGGAAAGGGCTGTGGTGTTTTGTGTCTTTGATATGCTATCACAATTGATGTATTAAAATGCAGAACTGCTTTTGGTTTGTTATGAAATCTATGTTTTAAAATTATAAAATATAGTTAAAACTAACTTGAAAATAAGTAACCTCAATGCAAAATTTTCATGTGAGGAAATCTATGGCAAGACAGTTAATTCTGTCTGGCACTTTTTTTTATTTTCATCCTCATTTGCTGCAACACATGTCCAAGACTGTCCAGTGATGTAACCTTTGCCTATCTATATATAGCATGAAGTACTGCTTTACGTCTCCGAGTTGTCTCTTCACTTTTGAGGACCGAATGCCAAAAGAAAGAGCCCCCTATGCTTTAAGGTGTAGAAGGTCACAAACTTACAGCGATAATGACAAACACTAACGAACGTATTTTAACCATGTTGGTGCCGTTTTCTAATCCATACCAGCTGGCCGCATCTCCCCTGCGCAGAGGTACGGTTTCTAAAGCCTACAGGTTTTTGACTCCAGTCTTAAGTATCCTAAAAGTGTGTTTACAAGATTGGATGTAGGAGGCTTCTTCCACTGAACTGCAGCTGTCCCTTGTTTGTGCAGACAGAGTTTATATAAAAACTCAGAAGGTCTCTTGCCAATTCAATAAGCATGAAAAGTGGTGTGTGGTGTTTACATCTTGGTCTCTCTTGCCAAAAGTTTTGTCTCTCAAAGTGTGTAATCATGGCCTCTTACATCTCAAAAGTAATTTTCTGGTATTTGAGTATGTCTTTGGAAGTATGAGTCATGGGAAAAGATCTACTCAAAGCTCTTACCCAAGTTTACTGACTCTCTTTTTGGCTTAGTCTAGTCTATTGTGCTCTCCTGGTTCTCCACTTTCTTCACTATGGCTAGGATCGAAGCTGTAAAACCTTATATCAGGGTTTAGAAATCAGAGGTGATTTCAGTTGTTTTAATTTACCTTTCCTATGGAAAAACAAACCATTGCAGCCAGTGATACCATTTCATCTTGTGTTCCTAATGGGATATGGGGCAACAGTGGTGTTCCTGCAAATTCCCTTCGAAGGGAATTCTTTTAAAGGAATGTAATCAACATAGTGTGGTTTACAAGGGAAAAGTATCAAAAGCATTCCTCATCAATTTCATATTTGGTATGCATCAAATTTTTATTTATTCTGCTGAAGTGGAAAAAAAAAAGGAATTTGATAAGCTGTGAGAAATTTAGGAATAAATGTGAAACTTCTGTGACAATATAAAATGTTAATTTTCCATTTCATTTTGTTCACCTCTGTTGTCTCTGAGACTGATCACAAACTGAATTCAGTTTCTTACTCTTCACTTTCAACAGTTGAAAAATCTTGAGTCGTCTTTAACTTCTTAACAAAAAGTGATATGGTAACAGGATTAAATCACTGAAACAACAAGAAAGACTTGAAAAAGTAAAATAAAACTGTATTATTGTATAGCTGCCTTTGACAAGACAGCTTGCCTAATTAATCATAACAGATTTATAATCAAAGATTTATTTATTTTGAAATATTTGATATAAAGACTTCATTTATATCTGAAGGCAGTTTCTGAAATACAAATAGAAAAACATATAATGTTCCAAATTTTAATTTCGTTAGTCTTTCTCTCAATATCTCTCTCATACTTCATATGGGTCAAAGTAAGCAACATTTGAATACGGTTAAAATGTGGAGATACAGGATATTCCAGTTATTTAGGTGAGCCTGCTTAATGTCTTCACTGGACCCACAAGTGTCTGAAGTATTTTGTAAAAAAAAAAAAAAATATATATATATATATATAATTAGAACTTTTTAAAAATATAGCTTCTTCAGAAAGATAATGATGAATTAAGCAAGACCTATCAATGCCATTTAATTAACAACTTACTTATATGTGGTTTAGCTGTACTTTTTAAGATATGATATGCATGATGTTCTGAAGTACCTATTTGTGAGATAAGGGCTGTGGGTTTCCAGTAGATTTTAACAAAGTGTCAGACCTCAGTTTTAAGGAAAAAGGCTTTCAAAACTTTCCTGTCTTGGCCTGTAACACATTTTTCCAACATCTTTAACCCTACTGTCCCCTCCACCTGCCCATACTCCATTACTTTAATCTGACACATTTTATGGAGATTTTACATGGAGACTTTAACATACGGATGGATTATAGATCCAAGATGATCTCTTCGTGTCTCTTTTGCATGCTAATTATTTGGTATTATGTTTCTAATGTGGAGTACAGAAAAACCTGTCCCTTCTGTGTCATGAGGAATGGCCTGTTTATTTGTATGCCTCCAAATTCTGTCTATTTAAGTGACTGGGAACAAGACCAGAAAGACATAATGCTCTATTTGCCAATTCTAATAGCAAAAATTGTTTAGACTTGAGAAATAGCTCATTGTCTATGAATCCATTAAAATATCCATCAATGCACGCGTCTTGTTTCCCTCTCACAGAAGTATAGTCTGTATGTATTCATTTTCATTTAAAGACTATTATGCTTTATATGATCTTGTCAATCAAGTTCTTTATTTGGCCTGTTGTAAGTGTCTTTTTCCTCCGTATATTAACTTCTCGTGGCATTTGAAACAAAAGGCTTCTGCTTCCTCTTTGCAGTCTTGATGCTGTTAGATGACTTAAAGATGTTGGAAAGGGAGAAAGCAGAGCGTTAACCTACTGAAGTGCACTGGTATTAGGAACGTTAAATAAACCTTTCTCTTCCTTCTAAAAATAAGTATATGACGATGGGTCTGTTTGGCTTGTTTAAAATGTATTTTCTCACAACTGTAAAATGAATTTGTTGGATCCCTTTGTCATTTTAATTTTGCTCTGTGCACAGAGCCTATTTCTGTAACATTTCATTAACTTCCAGCGGACCGAGTTTCATATTTACTGTGTGTTCTTAATACGACTAGTGTGTTTTCATGCTAATAGGGATTTTGAAACTGCTGAGCTAATAAAATGTAATTAATAGAATGTTACTGTTTAAACTATTTCCAGGTACATCCACCTTTATGGAAGCATTAGCAGCCAATGGTACAACCAATATACAGACATCTGTAACAGGAGTGACAGCCAGCAAACGGAGGTTTATCGATGACAGGAGAGATCAACCTTTTGATAAAAGGCTACGTTTCAGCGTGAGACAAACAGAGAGCGCGTACCGGTACAGAGACATTGTTGTCAGGAAACAAGACGGATTCACACACATTTTGCTATCAACAAAATCATCTGAAAATAATTCACTAAACCCAGAGGTCAGAACAATTCTCATTTTGCGGGGGGAAGGGTGCTAAGGGAATTCTAAGTCTCTGCTCCATTTATTCCTGTTATTCAGGCACAAACATACAAGAAACAAGATTCGGGTTGTTGCTTGCAAGATGTTACACTTACAACTGACTTCAACTGTATTTCAGTTGGGTTTTATCTATGTTATCTGAACATGTAGACGTACTGTCTCTTTTAAGACGTGGTGATTTATGAAGTGCAACTTGAAACAAGCTTTAGCCTGAATTAAGGTTCTTTTTTTCTGAACTGGTTGCATATGCCATCTGCTGTCCAAATTACAGAAATGCTGAATGAGTGCTTTAGTTACAGATAACATCTAATAGATCTTTTCTTAATGATTTCATTATCTTAGTCTAATTACATTTTTGAAATGCAAAGCTTCTAATACTTTTCTTTTAACTTTCTTTTTTGGGGATAATGAAAGAAGTTAACTTTTCTAATATGATGGTTGAGTGGATCCTAAGGAAAAATTAACGATGTCGAAGATCTCATGGGGGGAGGAGGGCAGGAGAACAGTGTGCTACTTCTTAATGATGTAATAAAAAGATTCTAATGAATTTTTGATTTTTCAGGTAATGAAGGAAGTCCAAAGTGCACTGAACACAGCAGCTGCAGATGACAGTAAACTTGTGCTGTTCAGTGCAGTTGGTAGCATTTTCTGCTGTGGTCTTGATTTTATTTATTTTATACGTCGTTTAACGGATGATAGAAAAAAGGAAAGCACTAAGATGGCAGAAGCTATTAGGTATGTAAGATTATCTTCAGTCATCTGAGTGGGTATTCTAGTCTGGTTTGTTTTATCTTTTTTTATTTGAAAAGCTTCTAATTCAACAAGATCTCAGACATTCCCCTGTTATGTGATACAGTGTGCAGCACTTCTTTATATTCCCTGTCCCGTCCTGTTTGGGTTGTCATTTCATGCATCACTATTTCTACTACTAAAATTTAACTATGAAAACTGGCAGTATGGTAATACTCCTCCAGTTGAAACCAATTTTAAAAGACTTAAACGGCCATCGGGTTTCAGGATAACAAATGTAACACACACAATTACAAGATGCGCATTGAATGAATAACTTAATATAGTACATCCAGAGCAGTGGAATGGTGGATATATTAGAGGAGTAGATTAATACTAGTGATCATCATCTCAACGCTAGGTACCAGACCTAATGTTTAAACAAAATGAGCTGAGATACTACAAACTAGAAGAACATGCGTGGAAAAAAGTATGGATCTTAGAGAGACATGTTTTAACAGTACAAACAAGTGGCTTATCATTTGAACACTGGTTTTGAGGGCCTGGGCTCTTGGATTAGCTCTTGTATGCTTCCAGAGTGTCTGTATTCCTTCAGAGACCTATGTTTTGTTGTCATTATCAATATTCATGTCCCTAAAAAAGGCCTTGTAACATGTAAAGCCTGTTTCAGCGGAGGCACAGTTGGCTCATAAAGATGATAATAGTTAGGTTTTTTTTTTTCAAAGGAAAATTCTCAATCATTCCATGTAAAAGTTGCTCATGCAGTGACTTCAGATGCAGCCAGGGGACAGAGGCTCTTAACACTGAGCTTCTGTCACTAGTTTAATTCAGGCCCTCCCAGAAGTCTGATTTGTCACCTCTTATTCATCGTTAATAAAATGGATAAAGGTAACTTAAAATACCTATGAACTCCCCCTTCAAATATAATAATGGTATTTTTCCTATATATGCTAGAGATGGTCCTCTCTGGAATATTCAGGCATGATTAAAGTTACCTTAAGTCTCTGTATGGGATGTTTGTATGACAGCTTGCATAACATGGCTCCAGTAGTAGTTTTTTTGCATTCATCTATTTCAGTTTATTAGAATGAGTTAAGAAGCAGCATAATAACCTTTAGTGACGGACGCAATAAAGTAAAAATGTCCTGTTTGACAGAAATACAAAAACATGTAACGCAGGTAAAGAGCAAACTTTAAAATTACCACTAAATCCCCCTTTTTTAAAAACTTCGGTAAAAATCCCGTATTTCACCATCTAATACTGAAATGAAAAATCATCTGTCATTCAGAGCAAAGTAGTGCTTTACAGGTGCTGACAACTGTATGTTGTACATTGTATTCTAATCAGAATTTGTCAGGTACTTGAAGTAAATATGGACAACTTCTTCATTATATGTGGTAGTTATTAACTGAGAAATGTCGGCCCCTCAACTTCGAGGTTTTAGAAGTCTCTATGTGGTCTAATGCGTGTGTGTACACACACACACACGCACGCGTGCGTACACACATGCTTACTTTTTCCTAAGAAGCTCTTGAAGGCATTTACTATTTGAGAACAGAGAAGGATGTAAGCATCCATGCTTTGTGAGTACTGGAATGAGTTGTCATTTTGTGTTGATAATAGGGATGAGAATATGCATTTGTGACTTAACAGCATAGCACCTATAGTGTTATGACCAACCAAGAGAGGAAGGTGAGGAGGGGAAGTTCACAGGTGTGTGATACGTGATAATGGAGCTCTACTATATATGGCTTGTTCATAATTTACAAAGGCAGATTTATTTATTAAGAAAAGCTGTCTCCCAAAAGTCCAGAAATACTCCTTAAGGAAACTCATTAATGCTTTTCCCATCTTCACTTATACCTATATACCTTATACCTTCACTTAAAAATATAGATAGATGGACACCTTATACCAATGTCATACATACATAAACACAATGAAGGCCAAGCAGGGTTGTAACCACAATTCTGGTGCCCAGAGGTGAAGTATGACTACAGCCTCAGCTAACGGGGGCTGTGAGGCCTGGGAATATACCACAAGTGCCATATCAGCTGGTGCTTGTAGGAGGGGCATTAAATCCGCACCTGCCCAATTACAGTGCTTTGTTGGGCTAGGAGAAATGCTAGGCTTTCACAGGATTAGAGAATGGTTGAGGTTGGAAGGGACCTTTGGAGGTTATCTTGTTCAACCTGCCCCTGCTCGAGCAGGGTCACCTAGAGCAGGTTGCCTGGGACCATGTCCAGGTAGGGTTTTTGAATATCTCCAAGGATGGAGAGTCCACAGCCTTACTGGCCACCTGTTCAGTCACCCTGACAGTAAGAAAGTGTTTCCTGATGTTCAGAGGGAACCTCCTGTGTTTCAGTTTGGGCCCACTGCCTCTGGTCCTGTCGCTGGGCACCACTGAAAAGAGCCTGGCTCCGTCCTCTTTGCACCCTCCCTTCAGGTATTTATAGACATTGATGAGATCCCCCTGAGCCTTCTCTTCTCCAGGCTGAACAGCCCCAGCTCTCTCATCCTTTCCTCACATGAGAGATGTTCCAGTCCCTTGGTCATCTTGGTGGCCCTTTGCTAGACCATCTTCAGTAGCTCCATGTCTCTCTTTCACTGGGGAGCCCATAACTGGACACCAGTGCTGAGCAGAGGGGAAGGATCACCTCCTGCAACCTGCTGGCAACACTCCTAATGCAGGCCAGGATACCATTAGCCTGCTTTGCTACAAGGACACGTTGCTGGCTCAAGCATGACTTGGTGTCCCCCCGGACCCCAGGTCCTTTTCTGCCAAGCTGCTTTCCAGCTGTTTGGCTTCCAGCGTATATTGGTGCCTGGGGTTGTTCTTCCCCGGGTGCAGGCCTTTGCACTTCCCCTTGTTGAACTGCGTGAGGTTCCTGTCAGCCCATTTCTCCAGGCTGTCGCGGTCCCTCTGGATGGCAGCACGACCCTCTGGTGTATCATCAGCCCAGTTTTGTACGATCAGCAAACTTGCTGAGGGTACGCTCTGCCCCGTCATCCAGATCATGAATGAAGGTGTTGCACAGTATGGGACCCAGCACTGACCCCCTGCAGTGCGACTAACTACCAGTCTCTGACTAGAGTTTGTGCCACTGATCACCACCCCCGGGCCAGCCATTCAGACATTTTTCAGTCCACCTCACTGTCTGTTCATACATCAGCAGCTTGACTATGAGAGCCTTATGGGAGACAGTGCTGAAAGCTTCGCTCTGAAGTCTAGGTAGACAAGAGCCACTGCTCTCCCCTCAGCCACCAAGCCAACCACCTCATCGTGGAAGGCTATCAGGTTGGTTTTGAAAGTGATGTTACTGGGGAGATGAATTACTACTGAGTTTTCAAGGGCTGGTATATTTTACGTTACATATGTAGTCAGTGCATGTTTCTGTTTCTCTTCAGGAATTTTGTGAATACTTTTATTCAGTTTAAGAAGCCTATCATTGTAGCAGTAAATGGCCCAGCCATTGGACTTGGAGCATCTATATTGCCTCTGTGTGACGTGGTTTGGGCCAACGAGAAGGCTTGGTTTCAGACGCCATACACTACTTTTGGACAAAGTCCAGATGGATGTTCATCCCTCACATTCCCTCGGATAATGGGCCTGGCTTCTGTAAGTAGCTTGCAGGGTAGGGGCTGACAGCTTCACAATGCAGCTGTGATAATTTATCCAGGGTGATTGCAAGACTCTTTACCTTTGCTGTGTTGTCTTAATTTTTTTTCTTTCTCTCATGAAAATCCTTCATGAGAAACCAGTATTTATAGCTTCTCTGCTCCGTGCTGTTACAGCCTAGTCTTCACCTGCGTGCACAGAACAGAAAGCAGGCGTCAGACCTAATCCCAAGTCATGTGCACCCTTAACCCTGACGGTGGCAGAAGGGTTATGTCCTGCCTACCAGGACACACCTTCCCTCCTGATGCCTTGTGAGGACCAGCCACCAGCGTCTTGCATTCAGCCCAGCATTGGAGTGTAGCAGAGAACGGGCTGGTCTGCACTCGGTGTCATTACATAGCAGAGCACTGTGTCACCAGCTCTTAGCAGTCTCATGCTAGCATGCAAAATATGTAATTCAGCTTTCATGCACTCATTTTCAAGAAGTTGTGTCAAACTTCCTTGCTTTGTAGAGCTCTGTTGATGTTTCACACTACCGTGTTATGCAAGACGTAGTCCAAATCACCTTTGTGAAGGATTTTTTTTTTTCACTCTTGCACTTGATTTACAGTATTGCTGGATTGAAAAAAAAAAAATGGTGACTCTGCATTGTTGCTGAAAGCATAAGCCACATGTTACTTAGTAACCCTTTTCTTGCTTTGCAATTAGATGAAAGACTCAAATGTAACAAAATGCTATTTGAAAAGCTCTTATCTACATTATTTTCATGTTGCTTACTATTTATTATGCTGTGTTCTTTGAAAACTTAGACCTACCTCCCATTCTAATTTGAAGTTGAACAGTAACAGTATGAAAGAAGCGCTTGTAGCTACACCTGTTTTTCCTAAATTACTGTTTATTATGCAAGCCAATTTTTCCCTAGAGGTATTTATTGATTTAAAAATACAGATTTCGATGTATTAAAAGCATCAGTTTGAACAGATCTAATAACTAATTGTGTGATGTCCGGATGTAGTTATTAGAAGAGAACAGAAAAGGTAACTGAAATAGATTAACAGTTATAAGAGTATCTTTAATATCTTGGCGTGTTTCAAACTACTGATTGTTCCTTTCCCTTTTTATTTGGCCATCCATCTATTCATCCATCCATTTCATCCATCCCCGTCCTTTAGAGACTTGTGATTGTTACTTTTTGTTTCTTCAGAAGTTGTACAAAAAAACACAAGAAGCTCTTCCCTGGTATACTCTTTCATGTGTGTTTGTGAATGCTCATTTTTCAATATTAAGATTTAAATTGAAAGCTTCCAGTGATAACAATTAAAATATAATACAAAAGAAAGAATTAAGGCCTCTGTATACATCATAAAATTTGCTGCAAGTGTATTAATTCAGCAATATTAGTCCTACCCTTAACGCTTGTAAGTCAGATTCAGTGCGTTCTTTTTATCATCAGCAGTTGTGTAAAAATCTTCAATTCCAAGATTGTTGGAAATATTTTCCCTACTGAGTCAGTCTTGGCTGGTGAGCAGGTCTGTCGTGGAGGGGGTTTTGTCACAGAACATGTTCAGCAGAGGTCATTATTACAGAAAATCTGAAGCCCAGGCCTTAGGATTCAAAAAGGATACTGTATTTGGAATACCAAGAATTTTAGAAGGATTCTTAGACTTGGCTTTTGAGATTTGAAAATAATCTATAATGAAGCTTAAGGTGACATCTGTTTGGGGAGATAAGTTGTTGTGCATCTGCTCTGGAGTTCTTGGTCTGGTTTTCTGGTCCTGGATATGAAGCACAGGAGCTGCGTGATCAAGCTTCACCCACTGGGTTTCCCTGTTGGTCTCCAGCACGCTTGGCAGGATTTCTTACGGTTTTTTTGTCAGTCATGAGGAATACACATTTCCATAGTGCCTGTAGTCCACATCACAGCCAGGGTCTCGGGCCTTACGGAGACCAGCTGCCTCCTGGTCACAGTGCAAGACAGCTGAGCTGCTCCACGGCAGCTAGCGCAGCTGTGGCCTTGCACGAAGGTCCCCCGTGAGCCTCAAAGCACTCGCTGGAAAAGAGAGACCAGAGGATGTCCCAGTGAGGTTCCTCTGTGGAAGGAGAAAGACAGACTGAGTAGAAAAGGAAGGTTGTTAATGAGAACCTTATCTTAATGAAACATTTTTATCATTTTCATTTCGATTGCTGTAGTATACTTCTTGGAAAGTAACCACCAAGTGTGTTAATTTTCACAGCAGATGCAAGGCATGATTAGATGATTAAAACTTGTTTAGCAGTGAGGCTCCGGCATACATTGTGTATAGATCAAGAGTGAAGATGCCAGAGCAAAACATTTCCCTTCGAAACCTGTCAACGGAGAACACTAATGGGAGCGCTCGTTTCATGGGAGGTTTTCTGCTAATGCTGTGTAACAGCTGGCAGAAACAAGATAACTGCACCGTTGTCATTTGTGGGGTTTCACGTTCAGGAGAACTCGGCCGTTGCTACTGAGTTTTAGAAAAAAAAATATTAAGGTTTTCTAACATTTATTACTGTCCTTCTTACCAAAGATACACGTGAAGAATATAGACCTGAGCAGCTGACTTAAATTTCTGACTTTCCTAACTCCCAGTTAGATTGACTTCACGTTTTGATCTTTGATATAAATGTTAAGTATCTATTAAAATTATTTTGGAAGAATTTTTTTCCCCATATCTCCTTAGGAAAATGATTCCTGGTTTTAGCCAAACTTGCGTATATCACAGATTTTTGGCCAGTGTTTCAGGTTAGCATTATTCACATATAATCTGGAAAATTAGAAAGTATAGTTGTGATAGTTAAGGAACCTTGTATATTTGATTTTGCTTTCACAGAAGGTAGAACTATCGGGGTATATAATTTGTACCTTTAGTCTGAGGCTTTTTTTTTTTTTTTTAAACTAACATATGTGAATCACAACTTTCCATGTTAACTTATGAGAGATGTGCTGATGATAAATTTTATATAAAAGATCCTAGGAAACTTCTCTTTTTTACATGCCTAACGCACTGGGAGTCAGCAACCACACTGCCATTAGAACCCATTTGTATTTCGTTACAAAGGGGCAAGTAATAGACCTCTGAGTTTTCACATTTCTTCATCTGTAAAATGGCAATACTAGGAACATTACCTACCGTAATTAGATAACTTGAGATCCTTAACTGAAAGTTGTTGTAATAATTACCAAAATTTCCAGTATTAGAAAACATGAAAAAACCTCAAAATTTTGTCCTCAGAAATGCTACACCTGTCAGGTTTGGGTGTTTTATAAGTCTTATTTCCCATATTTCAAAAGTCCAGTGATGGCTTTGTCATATTTTCAATGTAAATTAGTCATTAAGAAACAGTAAAACTGATTTTTTTTTTTTTTTTTTTTGGAGGTTGACAATTACCATGACTTTTTAATCTTCACTGGCTGTTTCTGTGCAGATGTCACTGCAAACAAAAAGTTTAACTATATAAGAAACGTCACTAAAGGTAGAATTTTCACTAAAAGTAGAATTAAAGCATAAGCATAAATGGTTGTAGGATGACGCTTTAATGGGGAAGCAGATAAATAGTGAAGTGTATGGTAATCACAAAGCAAAAAGATTGACAAAACTGGAGATGACCTTATTGTAGAGAATCTAGCACTCTGTTCTGCACCTTTAAACTATGTACAAGATCTTTCAAATACTGTTGTAGGTTTTGGTTTTTTTTTTTAATATGGCTGCTAAATCAGCTTTTGAGAGGATTTATCAGTTCAATATGGAACTCCTGAATAAAATAGGAATGTTTATTTTCTATGAATTTGACCAGAAATGGGAATACATCCTGCTTACTTCAGTGTGTTCGGGAGGTCAAATTCTAAGATGATCCAGCTGTTTTAAATGTTGCATCGTAAACGAAATACTGCTGAAGACCTTTGAGAAGTGCTGAAAACAAACCGTATATTTAGGTTTCAAACATTTTCAGTACTAAAAAACATTTTAGTTGCAAAATATTTAACTGTTCTTTTCTACCAAGACTGGCAGTTCCCAGGAGGTCTACTACCAAAACTGGGTTATCTTTATAATTTACAGATAATGTAGATTTTTAGCAAAGACTTCATTGCTGCAACTAACATTATTATAAAGGGCAAGCTGATGTATTCATTGCTGTTTTACAGATCTGCCATGCGTTATAACCTATTACCACGTATACAGTTAATCAAGTCGGCAATACTGCAAGAAAGCTAGAGCTAATGAACAGTCGTGAATGGGAAATGACAAAAGACATTTTCACATTTAACCCTTAATCATAGACCTCGCTATTTTTTTTTTTTTAATAACTACTGACATAGTATAGCCAACAACACCAGCCAGCTATCTTAGGCAAGTCTTTATTAATTACAAGTTGGAAGAGCTATAATAAAACTATTTCAAATAGTGCAGGCATTTTCCTTATTTGTTTTGAACATTTTTCCTTTAATGAGTTTTGTCTCATTACATTTCATACCAGAAGTAACTTTTTATCCCTTCAGGCCAATGAAATGTTGTTCAGTGGAAGGAAGCTGACTGCACAGGAAGCTTGTGCCAAAGGACTCGTCTCTCAAGTGTTTTGGCCGGGAACATTCACACAAGAAGTAATGGTTCGAATTAAGGAACTTGTCACATGTAATTCGGTTGTAAGTTTCCTTTATTTTCTTACCATACATTTTTATGATTAGATTAATAAGAATTAATCTAAGTATTATTAGACTACATCTTTATGTCCTTCTAAAAAAAGACCACTTTCATGAAACAAGGACTGCGCTTTAGTATAGCAATGTCTTTTAACACATTTGTATCTACCTTCTTGTTTCTGAGTTTTTGAGGAATTTTTTTTTTTAAGTTTGTATCTGACTCTTCTTTATCATATGCCATAGTACATTGTGGTTAAGAACATTAAAACAGCATTGGACTCTTTACAATATATTTTGGGTTTAACATAGTTGCATAAGTCCAGCTTCTTCTAATCCACGGTGTAAACAGTTGCCCCAAGAACTGCACAGGAGCACAGAAATCTTGAGTTGTAATTTAAATTACCAAGGAAAAAAATGCAGTCTCTAACATTATGTTGAACTTACAGTTTTACGAGTAATGCCTAGTACACTCGTGGTTGTGTGCGCTACTGGCAGTTGCACAAGACAGCTAAAACTACCGATATTTGATGCTTGCTTACGAGAAGAGATGCAGTACAAATGAACTGTTCTGTGCATTAGAAATTTTGGATTTTGAAACAGATTAATAGTTTTCTAAATGGAAAAGCAAATGCGATTTTTCAGTCTATTTTAAATGCTCAAGACATTCAAGGCCTCCCTGCTTATTAGAGCAGTGCTGGATAAGTGTTATGATGAGCCTTCACCAAAACGGAGTTGGAGTTTCTCCAGTTATCAGTACAAAACCATATATAGATATTCATAGTTACGATTTTATGGTTTTCATTATTTCCACGTTTTTGTACACTTGTAAATTGTGCTGGTATAGGGTAAAGGAAATCCTGTGTGACACTATGAGAAAGACTCTATGAGAAGCGTTTCTTAGGGTCATAGTATGTCCATGAATTGATAAGCCTAAGTTCATAATCAGCTTCAGGATTCATCCATATAAACCTGTAAGCGTACATGTCGCTCAGGTCTCATGTAATACTAACCCAACTCACTGTTTTTTTGGCCTAGGTACTTGAAGAATCCAAAGCTTTAGTACGTAATATCATGAAGGTGGACTTGGAACAAGCAAATGAAAAGGAGTGTGAAGTTTTGAAGAAAATCTGGGGCTCAGCACAAGGGATGGACTCAATGTTAAAGTATCTGCAGAAGAAAATCGATGAGTTCTGATGAGATGCCCATTGACACTGGAATTGTATTTCTCGGACATCAGGGCAAACAAAATATGCCCATTTGAAAAACCTATAGAAACTCACCCCTTGCTCAGCTTGGGAATAGGAGTGGACCCCCCCCTCCCCTTTTATTGTCAAGGGGTTTAAAAGTACTGTATCACTTAAATTTGAACAAAACTCCTTTCTCCCTGATTGTTACATATAGATATATACACACACACACACACAAGCGTATGTGTGTGCATATATGTGTCTTTTATATATATATATATAAAAAATGTAAATGTGTGTGAGAGTGTATATGTAGACACACAGGCACACACAAGCTAAAAAAAAAAAAAAAGATAGAGTGCACTACCAAACATCTCTTTAAAGGCTCTAGTTTTTGTTATCTTTGGCTAGTACTGTATCAAATAGAGAATGGATTAAAAAGTGAATGGTGTTGCATTATTTTCTGTGTGGCAGGGAAGTCTGGAATAATGCTTTTCTTTTTCATTAGAATACAGAATTGAAACGGGTATTAGCCAGCCCTTACTTTCACTGCCCAACGAGTCAGCTAAGATACAAGGCATTGTCTCAGAAGAAGGTTGAAATACCTCAAGTAACGGAACATTCGAAAAATTTTGGGGAATTAAACCCTATTAAGATTAAATCACACACAGCCCCCAAAAGAGAGTGTGCTCAGGATTAATGCTAAGAAAACACTCGGTCCTTTTTGGGGGGGGAGGTAGAGAGGGGTGGGAGGCAGGGGGCAGGAATATGTTTAATTCTTACCCAGATAGCATGAAGAAACCACTGTCTCTTGGGGAAGGGGAATGAGGGGAAGAGGGAGGGAAATGGAAGAAAAAAAAAAAAAACACAACAAAAAAAGCTTGTTTTGCAGTATTAGTGAATCACTGAATATCTTATGTATGAATATCCTAAGTTATAAGTTAGTTTTAGTGGGTTTTTAAATAGTCTCTCTGGGTTTGTTTTTTTGTTTGTTTTTTTTTTTTTTTTTTTTAAATAACTACATAAGTGCTTCTGTTGCTGGGTGAGAATACTACTTTATATGCAGTTTGGGTTTTGTTTTTGGTTCTTTTTTTTCTCCTATTTGCTGGTTTAATTGATGTATTACACCAAAAATGCATTTTATGTTCATAAATTTTAGGTTCACTTAGAATATATTATTTAATAAGTTAAAATTCTTTTGGCACACTATTAAGTAAAAGAAAAACTCCTTTAAAAAAAACCTACCTTATATTAGATGTTTAATGTTCTTTGTCTATGCTTTTTTATTATTTTAAATATACACTATATACAGTATGGTGTAAAAGAGTGCCCTGTGTAAATAGACCTATTTTGCATTCCTTTCAGGAGTGGTTATTGATTCCTGACTGCAGATATCTATTATTACTTGGGTATCTGTGCTTGCAATCTTATTGAATGTATTATGAAGAATGAAAAAGAAATCAAACCTTATTTTTGTACAGTTTTGAAGTTTTTACTTGGAACTGACCCACCTCCCCTTCCCAGTGGAGAGCTGTACAGTGTGTAAATCTGCCTTTACCTTGGATTGGTACAGTATTTTTGCATCTGTGGGACCTACTTTTTTGTTCTAGTAGCTTGAACTATATATAAACTGTACAATCTGTAAAGTTTTTATAGAATAAATATTCAGCTGTGAAAACTGGTTAAATAAAACTAATATTTCTTAACACATTTTAAATGTGGTTCTCTCATATAGTTGCCTTTTTCAAAGACATCGCAGTTCTGACTTGAAAGTAAGAGTGGCTGAAACGAATCCTGCAAATTAAAGACTTTGATATTTATGTTTTATTTTGCTAAGAACTTATATAAAGTTTAACGATTTCCTCCAAAGGAAAAGTTGAAAATTCATTTATTGTTGTAAACTATAGAGAAGTTTTCTCTTAGAGGAGGTGGATGGGGAAGCAGACATACAGGAAGTCATTCTACTCTTCATTATTTTGGTACAGTTCTAAAAGCACATGCAGTCCTTGTTTCCTTGCAATCTCAAAAATTGTCATTTTCCCTACGATGCTGTTGTACAGTGAGAATTCCTTAGCTGAATTTGATTTTATTGAAAGGGAGAAGGAAAGATGCCTTACTTACAGTTCTGTAATGTTAAACCTTTTGGACTTCAACTCCAATTTATGTAAAGATCCCTTTTCCGGCATCTGTAAGAAGCATTTGGGTATAGATTGCATCTGTTTCAGCTGGAGGATTATTTATGCTTTTTCCTTAAACATGAAAGAACTTCACTATAACAGAGGATTGGATCTAGAGATACTTAGAAGAACGAAATCAGTTGAAGGTGCAGGCAATTCAACTGGAAAAATAAAATTCTACTTGCTTCATTTTATGTGTTACTATCAGTCAGGCTGTTACACTGCCTACAGTTTGCATGTTAAGATGTGAATAAGTTGGTGACCATGTAAATTCCTGGAAAAAGTCCATAGTTCAGACCAATTCATATACTCTGTCAGCGTTACTGTGCAATTGCCCTACCTTTATATTAAAAGCAGTAACTAACTTCACACTATTAACAAATTATGCCCTCACTCATAAATAACCTACACGTTTTGTCTATATACTGGCCTACAGGGATACTGTTTCATTAGGAAAATGCTGTCCAGTTCTTTTCAGCATAGGTCAGTAAATAGCCTTTGATGTGCCTGAAAGTTACAGCTAAGTCTAGTTTTGTCTTCGCAAAACCATAACAGAACAAAGACAGAAAAATTATAGACTTCTAATAGCAAGCAAGAAGGCCTGAAAGATCCTGAAAACTGACTTAAGACATATTAAAATGAGTGTTTTCAAGGCTTTTCTTCACAGAAGCCACAGGTCTCTGTCTAGCCTGGTTCATTGCTGATGCTTGCGTTGTTCTACCTGAATTTGCAGTACTGCATAGGTAAACTAACCTGAAGCATCGGCTTCAGCCTCTGATGACTGAACGCAACGTAGCCACAACGGTTTGACTGAAGCCAAGGAGAAGCGTGGGGAGGCTGCTGAAGCCAGCGTTACTTCTAAGGCACCTGCTTTGGAGTCGCAGCCTCACAGAAGCAGCGGTACTTCAAAACGGCTTCTGTTTGGTTCTAGTGCAGGTGTGTGAACAGCTTGTACCTGGAGAATTTTGGAGCATCATGAATTGTTGGGACCAGGGTGCAATGTAAGAACATAGAAACAGTATCTTTCTGAATGATGCCCAAGAAAACTTCCATGTGGCTTTTTTTTTTTTTTTTTTTTTTTAAAACAAGAGAGAACGTTTCCTCGGTTTTTTCCTCCTTCAGGCATGAAGGCAAATCACAACACCTGTTTGGGTGTCACAAGTCTAGTCAGGGGCTAGTAGAGTTAGGAATAATGGTATTGGAATATAAAATTCAGCTAGCTTTGGCCTTGCTCAGTCCTGACCCCCAAGTCTCCTGTCACGACTGTCTGCTATCTCGATTGCATCACAGTACTACACAACCTGCTTAATTCCTTACAGAGCCTAGAGACACGTCAGTGTTGGTGCTGAAACTTAAAAGTAGCGCAGGAGCCTTGATAGCGCAGTGTAGGAATCTTTCTGTGACATTCTAGTTCTCTTCCTGGCATAGGTGACCTCTCGGGCACTAGCAAACAGCAAACGGACAAGCATTGGCAGCTAGGCTGCATTGATGCCGTAGAGTACGCTTTCCCCGCAGAAGTTCCATCACATTCGAGTTTATTTTTGGAAGTAAATAAGAGAACTTTTCTCCTGGTCAGGAAACAGTACCAGAGAGTCACGGGTTGAACGTACTTGGAACTGTTTGAAAGCCACCTGCGTGCACTTAACCACGCCTTCTGCTGATAGGTTAGTTTGAGCAAAAACAGAAAGCAGAGCAAGATCCTACCTCTGGGTAAGCTAAGCTACAACAAAAAGTATTTGGGGATAATCTGAAGATCTGAACTCACCCATATGTCTTTTCCTTGTTCAAACTTCCTAATTTGCATGAATCAAGGATCTGAAGCAGTTTCCTTCACTGGCTTGCTGACATTGCTAGAAGACACTTTTCTGTGCTCCAGAAGCTGCACCATTATCATTCTGAAAACAAGGTTCAGGGGAATTAAATCATCTTCTTAGGTGAGGTTCATTTCTTAAAGTCAGGCACACTTGAAAAGAAGAGAAAAACACAGAACGCTGAGCTATAAACTGCTTAACTTTACACTGATATATATCATACTTTACCCAAACAGTGGATAAAATGGGACTGCAAACATCTAGGGAATGAGGCAGCAAACAAAGCATTTCTGGCCAAGTGGACAGGAGAGACTTTCTTCAATAAATGGAGCCTACACTCTACCGAGGTTTGTTGGTGGAAGCCGAGGCACTTCACATTTATCTGGGACGCGACTAGCATGCTTCTGAAGCGAGCAGGAGGGAGGAGATACCCCAACTCAATTACGGTTCGCCATATGATTTTCCATCCTAAGGAACTGCCGGCAGCTGACAGCACGCAGGCTGTCTTACAGAGCTGTCCCAGAGGCTGAGTTGGCAACCTTAAGTCATGCAGCATGAGAGCTCAGGTACACTGCAGATGGCAGACAGGTGAATTTTGCTTTCCAAGGGAAGCAGTATCAGGAGGACAGCCCCTGTGTAGCACAAGATCACCATGGTCCTCATCTGTACAGCCCCTCAGATTTCTCTAGAAAATACTCCACTCACAGGTCTTTTTTTTCTTAGTAGTGAGGGACATGACTGGCAGATGTAAGTCACGCACCAGCCTTTCTAACAAACAAAACCTAAATATAATTACCTCGTGAGATACTCACAGGATGAAGAGTGGTCTGATGTGCAAAGATTTTGAAGTGCAATACAGAATGAGAAGATGGTGATGGAGTTCTTTTGGTCCTCCTCATCCCTCCTGCACAAGGGAAAAAATACAAGTAAGGGGAATTAGAAACCACCAAGAAACAGCAGGAAAGAAGTCAAAGGAGCTGCAGGAGGAAATAAAGGAATGGCAGTTATTCTCTCAAGTC